AACCTAGGCCCAGCCACTCGCCTTGCCCGAGCCTTGACGTCCCCATCTACGGAATGGGAATGTAACGCTCCCACACAGCACAGCGGCTTCTAGCAGAGCCGGAGCCAAGGGAGAGCTAAGCAAAGCCCCACGCACCCCTCTGCCAGGGAGACTGCCTTCCTGCACCGCGGAACTGGACCGAGTCCGGTCACAGACACTCAGGCTGATCTTCGACAGCGCCCCACCCCCGCCCCCCACCCCCGGTTCCTGAGGGGCCGCAGCACTAACTACTGGAAGCCATGAGAGTGAGGCGGCTGCCCAGACAGCGGGCACCTGTGGCCCAGTAAGCAGGGATCACGGCACAGACCCACGGAGCTGGGACGGGAGCGCCAGTCGCCCTGGGCACCGGGCCCGCCCGGCCTCTCTGCAAGTGGTGCCGACTCCTTCCCAGGTGACCTCGTCTTTGCTTAGTGCATTTGAGGCGTAAGCCCAGCACCTATGACATCACGCTCCATCATAGCGGTCGGCCGTGCTGAAGGCTGCAGGCGCCCCCTACCCCCACCCCGCAGGAAGGCCCAGGGAGCTCTTGACCCTGGAGCTGGGGCTGCCTGTGACCCTCTGCAGAGCTGTGGCTGTAACAGGGACCATCCCTTGGGATAGCTTCAACCGAAAGCAAACCCTGCCCAATAAAAATCGTTTCCATTTTATCACCCGAGTCGAGAGGAAGCCCGCACTGAGCCCCACCTCTGCACCCACCCTCTCCTCTCCCGGCCCCTGCCCAGAAACCAGACCTCGGGCGCTCACTGCCACCATCCCGGCTCCTGTGGCCTCGGTGCATTTCACACCAGGCAGGTCCTGCCCATACTGAGCAGGAGGGGCCTAAAACTTCCAGAGGCCTCAGGCTAAAGCAAGAGTTTGGGTGTTTGGCGGGGTGGGGTGCGGGCAGTGGAGGGAAGTAGTAGTCTCCAGATTGTGTCACCACACTGCCCATATGTGCCCATCTGTAAAATGGGCAGCCACACCAACCCAGAGCCAGGCGCACAGTAGGTGCTCAGCCCCTCAGGTCAACACCTGGCCCCGCCCCTACTCCCCACATTCCCCTGAAGCCTTCATGACCTCCCACGGCCCCAGATGACAGGCTCCTTTAGAGTGACACTTTTTTTTTTTTTCTCAAAGTTAATGGGCAACACATTCTCGCTAAGAGAAACTCCGCATTTGGACGGCTCCAAAGATGCACAGACAACCAAGGAATCTTCTAGCTGTGTCGTGGGGACGGGGGTGGTGGCTGGGGCGGGGGAGAGGGGGTGGCAGTGGCAAGGGCAGAAGAAAACCTCAGATGTTAAGCGTTATCCAATTAAGCTTTAGCTAAACAGCCCAAAGAGATGAAATGTGGAGGCTGGAGAAATGCATTCTGGGAGAGAGACTCTCGGAATGGGCGGAGGCACGGGAGGCCCGCGGACCGATGAGACCAGGGCGCTGGCGTACAGTCCTGCTGGCATCCTTCAGCACTTCCCCAGGCTCCCCCCAAAAATGCCTTCGGGGCGGGAGTGGCACGTCCCCCCACCTCGCCCCAGCCCACCGGGGAGAGGCAGCTGCCAGCTCTGCCAGGGCACACCCCGCCACCCCGGGGAGCCCGCCCCCCACCGCGGCCGTCTGTTACCTGACAACTGACACTGACATCCAAAGGGAGCCTCCGTGTGACCCTCACCCCGAGTCCCGTCGCCCGAGACCGGGCGTGCGCTGCAGCACGGCAGGGGGAAGCAGGGCGGCAGAGCACCCAGGGCACGCAGAGGTGAGGTGATCACGGATGTGTGAGGGTGGGAGGAGGAGGCAGCTATGGGGGCCATCGCTGGCAGCTGGGCAGGCCTGCACGGCCCTGGAGAAAAAACAATAGAAAAGACTGGTCAGTCGGGCCCTGGACGGGACAAGGGGCTCGGGGTGTGGAACAGGGGCCCGGGGCAGAGGCTGCGGCCGCCCTTCCCCGGGGAGAGGCCCCAGGGTGCCGGGCCCTGCAGGGAAGACAACGGAGCACAGGCAGGGGGAGGGTCAGGCAAGCGGGCAGGGGCCTGAGGGGTCCTACGTCCACAGCTGCCAGGTTGGGCTGTCTTCGGGCCAGACTCCCATCCCTGGGGGCCAAATGCAGGGAGCTGTCGGGGGCCCAGCTCCCAGGAGGGTCCCCCCGGGTAGGGACTTCTGAAGTGTTCTGGGGCAAGCTCCATTTGGGGTTTTAGTCCCAAAAATCTGGACCACCCGCCTCTGGGAACCTCCAGCCACCACTGTTTGCACAGGCCTGGGACGCCTCCAGTCTGGCTACCAGTGCCTGGGCCTCTGGCCTGGCGGATGCTAGCTGGTGACTCTCACCAGCCCACGGTCCTCTTCAGCAATCCGAGCCCCAAGCCCTTTCAGAAAGCTGTGAACATCCCCCACCCCACCCCCCATGCCAGAAAACCCTGGCACTGTCCAGCACCCCTCCTAACGCCTCCCGAGTCTGACAGTCACAGCACAAGGCCAGGGGCCAGCCTCGCCTCAGCTCCCCGGCATGGCCTGCGTTTGATTTGGCCGTTTATCTTAAATGGCTAAGAGACCACCAGGGCAAAACATTTGTGTGAAGCCCTTGCCAAAACCACAAGTGAAGAAGCCCAAATTCCCTGGGTAAATAACTGAGCAGGGAGGCATCCGAGAGTCAGAAAGGAAACGTCGGCAAGACGACAGGCAGCTGGGCCCCGGGCCGCCCCGCCAGGATGCCTCCCGACACTGCTCACCGCCCCACATAGGTCTGCGGGGGGCTCTGCCCATTCCCCAGCCGACCGCATGCGGGATCCCCCCAACCAGACGCGCCACAGGGCCCTGCAAACCCACCACAAGCCAGAAGCCACCAGTTTTTGCCTAGAGTGAGCCTCCCAGCATGCCATGGGGCTTGGCTTAGGACACCCACTGCACGACGAGGAAGCTGATGACATGGCCACAGAACACAGCAGACACAGGCAGCCAGCCCCTCCGAGAGCTTGGCTCCAGACCCAGGGTTTTTCTCTGCGTTCTGCAGGACCGAGGCCTTGGGTCATTTGCGAAGACCTGCAAATGCCCTGCCAGGGAGCAAAGCTAACTATGACCAGCACCATTTCGGCCCCTCGGGGCCAAGGAAGACCTCCTACTAGGCCAGGCCCAGGGCCATGGGCATTTCTGGGCAGAAGGCCTCAGCGGGGTGTGGCCGAGGACTGGAAGCAGTTCCAGCCACAGATGCAGAGCAGAAGGCGATGCCTCAGGTTCAGTGCAGGCCCCCGAGGAAGGTCGGCCCCTAAGGCCAGTGTCACCTGCCTCCTCCTGAAAGCCCACCCTGGTCAGTCCTTACCTGGAGCTCCCCTGGACACCAAACACTGCATGTTTGACCCTGTCTACTACACAGACCCTGCCTACAGACCACAGAAGACTCCAGGTCACGACCACCCCGCTCAGCAGAAAAGAGCAACCCCATTCCACAGGGGAAACCAAGGCTCAGGGAGGTTTGGGACATGAACCCAGTCGTGTCTCCAAAGCCTGGATCTGTTCTACTCCCCCTGTGCTGCAGCTGGGGTGGAGTGACCAGGGCTCCCAGGAGGGCAGTGGGGGGAGCCTGAGGGTCTGGGAGCTCAGTTAGGCCACCAGAGGTTTTGCAAAAGAGCAAATCCAGGTGGGTCCCAAGCCTGGGTGGGGCCACAACACAGCAGCCAGCATTTACCAGGGCTGAGAACACCAACAGGGGCACCCAGGCCAGGTGACATCTGTCCAAGCCGGAAGCGTGCCAAACCTGTCTCCATGGTTGGCAGGAAGGACCCCAGGACAGGTTCAGCCGCACCCCCTCTTTCTAAGGTCAGGCTTAGATCAGTCAGTGAAGGCAAAGTCACCCCCAACTCAGGGAGGGGAGGAAGTCAGGCTGCCCTTGGAGGGGATTCCACACCCCATTAGGAATTCTAACCTAGCTGAAATCCACCTGCTCTAGAGGCCAGCTCCATGGAGGCAGGGGAGGGACCAGCAAGGGTGAGGGGCCTCCCATCCTAAGCTGTCCACAGTGCTCTGCCCAAGGGCGGACTCTAGGAATCTGAAGCTAATGCCAAAGCCCAGGGTGTTGAAAGAAGCCACCTACTGTATGAGCCCACATACAGGAAGAGTCCGGAACAGACCAATCCGTGGAGACAAAACGTCAACGGGCCGGGGAGGGGCAGTGAGGCCTAGTGGGTCGGGGGTTTGTTTGGGGGGTCGGTGATGAAATATTCTGGCATTAGGTAGTGATGATGGCTGCCCAACATTGTGGATATACTCAAAACCACTGACCGGGCACCTTAAAATGGTTAAAGTGGTGAATTTTATGTTATGTGAATCTCATCTCGATTTTTTGTTAGGCCCAGGGTGAGGACTGTCTCTGGCCGCAGCGTCTGTCCCAGGCCACCTCCCAACCTTGATCCTCCTCAAGGAAGGGGTGTCTGCCTTCGAAAGTGCCGCCAGGCAATCCAGAACGCACTTGAGGGAGCCCTCGAGAGTGACACACACCAAGAAAGCCCAGAGCTAGGAGGGAGCCTTGGAGCCAGAGGCCTGGGTTCGAATTTCTCCTCTGCCATTTCCTGGCTGTGTGACCCAGGGTTTGTCACTTTCTCAGAGCCTGGCCTTTAAAGGAAGGTCAACACGCCTGGCCAGAGCCGAGCTTCTAGTAAACACTCAGTAATTCCATCATTCATTTATCTTTTTCCATTCTGGAACTTCTGTTCCCCATGGTGCTCCCCACAGCCTGATGGTGAATGTCTGTGGGGTGCTCTGAGCTCAGAAAGGCACTCTACAAAGCCCTGCAAGGCACTCCTGCAAAAAACAAACAAACAAAAAAAAAAAAACAGAAAAAAAAAAAAAAAAAACGTTTTCTTTGGGGGTCTGGGCGGGTTTCCCCCTGGAACTGGGACGGAGGCACGTGCAGCGAGCTGAGGGGCGCCAAGACGCCATCTCAGCTCTGTGTGGGATCCAGGTGGCTTAGAAATAAAACCCTAGCTGGCTCGATTCCTTATCATGGAATTTCACTTTCATTAGGGAAAAGGAAATAAGCGATGAATACATCTATCATCTCATTTAAGCCCAGCAGCTTTCCAGCGAGGTCCGTAACATGACCTCGCTCTCACAAATGAGGAAACTGAGGCTGGGTGCCCAGGACCAGCGAGCGGCTCACGGCGGTCAGAATCTCACTCCATGCACCCTGTACAAAGAGGTACCAAAAATGTCCAAAAATAAGACCCCGAAAATGTTTAAGCTCCAAATCGGGGTGTAGGGTAATTTTCAACGCATGCCTCCCGAGGTGGGGGTGGGGGGGCTGTAACCTGTGCCCCTTCGGGAGGGGCCCCGCAGATGTTCTGCTCCACTCCACACATGCGCACTTCCCGGCGAACACGCCCACACCGAGCGGCGTGTAGACACACAAAAAAATGCGCCTGGAAAAGCCCCAGCCCGGTTCTGAGGGGAATGCGAGCCTTTCCCAGCACTGACTCCTCGGCGTCCCCTCCCACAATGGGAGGGTTACAGACTCCCAGCCAGCGACAGGAGCTCTGGGATACACTGTGCAGATGTATATTTTTCTCCCTACCGGTGCCTTTCAATTGATACATTTTTTAAGCCAAGAACTCCTACTGATAGTGCAAAAATGAGTCATAGATCCGGGAGGGCGACAGACAGACAGGGAGCGAGCGCCTGTGAGTGAGGGCCACTGGCAAGGAAACC